TGTTAGCTCAATTGGTAGAGCGCTGCACCGGTATCGCAGAGGTCATGGGTTCAAATCCCGTACGGGCCTGAAATTTTTTTCAGGTCCTACCTACAACTACTAGTTTCAGTAGTGTTCTTAGCTGCGAGGATCTTCTAATTTCAGGCTGTATTATGTTACTCAAATAGCAGTTTAATGAAAGAGAATCCTTCAGTTTTTGAAATACACAGAACATTAAAAAAAAAATAGTTTCAAGTCCTCAAGCTGTACTTCCAATTGACTTACAATTCTCCAGTTTCGCTTCACACTGTTCTTGAACGCAATAGCAGCAGCCACTCTTATCAATTCACCCTCATTATTATTATTCACAATGCCCAATAGTAGAACATTGTAACCACTGCTTCCTTCCACTGTCTCAAGATACTTCTCAGCTAAAATAGTCAAAAGAAAGCATGTAATCTAAAGAAATGTGTGAAAGGTAAAATAACTCCAACAAAAATATGATAAACTAAAGCAGCATTACTGGAAAGGCTGTTGTTGAGCTGCAATCCCTAACACCAATCACAGCACAGATCTTTGGAAGTACATGATAGTGAATTGCTGTCTTGTTTCACTTAGCAGACTACATATTACACTGCTGTGGGTGATACCTCCAAGGTAACTGCTACTTCAAAACTTAATTACAGCCCTGACTAACAAATCATGTTAAAAGAGAGTTTAAAGAAGTTAATTTTTCAAAATATTTTGGTCAAGGAAGTCTCTCCTTAGTCAGTCTTAGCTGAATATTATTGTAACTGTTCTAGTGAGAGCACAGGCGGCCCAAGCTCCAGCTGTGAGATGATCATCTTGTGTAATAACAATCATGGCAGAATTATAAGAGTTTGTATGGGAATATTTACGACCACTCTAAGGAATAAAAAAATACGTCAAATTCTTGATAAAAATCGATTAGAACTTGGACCATCACATCGCAGCACATTAAAAGGACAAAACAGCTTGTTAAAGTATAATTTAGCTAAATTTACATTTCCTTCCGAAAAAGAAAGTCGGCCCGACGTAAGAAGAACATTCTAGCCATGAAACTTCAGTTTAAGGTAATACAGTCCTTCAACTTGTACTCGCTGGATTTGTGCTGCTCACGATATATATCATTGTACTATAAAACAAAAGCATTCTTATAGATTCATTCTATATGTGAGAAAGTTCCTGTCTCAAGTATTTTGCGACAGGAAACGGCTTTGATGTGTGCAGAATTATATCTTTCGTAAATCTACCAAGTTTAACCGAAGCCATCCTTACCTTGTTTCCGAACGTTCGTTTCAAACGATAAAGTGTTTTTCAAATTGAGAGCCAGCAAAGCGTTCGCATCTGTCATCTTCAAGCAGCACCAGAAGCACCAAACTTCGATCTTAAACTTTCAGAAGAAGTGTCTTATGCCCGGATATTCTGGGAAATAGCTTTCCTAATCGCACCAGGGAAATTATACGTTTTTTTCAAATTTTCATGAAATGCGCCATCAACTATGCGCATGTCAGGATTTCCTTGCACATGGTCATTCTCGTTCCCAAACTCCTCCTCCAACAAATAGTTTTCCTTTCATTATCACCCCTGAATCACATGTCAAGTACACAAGAATAAAAGACATGATCACCAACAAAATAAACTCTTGACGTTTAAACAAATTTTCCTTAGCAGGGTTAAGAGGAAGAAATATACGTAAGTACTAAAACAAGGAACGACCTAAAACCAGCTAAAACCACCTAAAACCACCTACAACCATCTACAACCACCTCAAAAATTTCAACAACCACCTACAACCACCTCAAAAACATCTACAACCACTCGCAAACTATCTAAAATCATCTAAAACAAGGCATAAATGTCTAAAATAAGGCGAAACGACAACATGTCACGTACACGAAATACGAGAATCGAACGAAACCTCTACCTCCCCCTGAAATCTTATTCTCCCTGGTCCCATGTATAATCAACCATCTCACGAAATGAAATGCGATAGCATGCTAATTATTTTATATTCCCTCAGCAATTGGCTATTGTATTTATATGATAAACAAAATAATACATGGTTGCTTGTAGATATTGAATTTCCCTTCTCGTGTTCAACGTTATTATTTTTTGTAACTTGTTAGTTCATTTTGTAAAGTTCTTTAAGTCTTTTGCTAAGGGAATATAAAATAATTAGCATGCTATCGCATTTCATTTCGTGAGATGGTTGATTAAACATGGGACCAGGGAGAATAAGATTTCAGGGGGAGGTAGAGGTATCGTTCGATTCTCGTATTTCGTGTACGTGACATGTTGTCGTTTCGCCTTATTTTAGACATTTATGCCTTGTTTTAGATGATTTTAGATAGTTTACGAGTGGTTGTAGATGTTTTTGAGGTGGTTGTAGGTGGTTGTTAAAATTTTTGAGGTGGCTGTAGATGGTTGTAGGTGGTTTTAGGTGGTTTTAGGTCGTTCCTTGTTTTAGTACTTACCAGAAATATAACCATTTTGGAAAAGACAAGATAGAACTGTCCAAAACCCCAGAGAATTTTCGCTGCCTCATTCTTGAAATAGAGAACACCATGGTACTCTTCCAATATCACAAATTCTGATGATTCAGGAGGAAAGGATGGCTAGAAATTTTTGCAATTGTTGGGAATTGCTGCAATTAATATTGGCTGGTGTATGGTAATAGTTTTTCCCTCAACTGAGAAAGAATTTTCTGCTAGGAGAAAGAAACTTTTAACTGCAAGTTGGCATTCTACTGAACCTTGCCTTGAATTTTCAATTCTCCCTCCCTTGTACCAACGTACATTATTTCATAAACTCTGAAGATTCATCAATTCTCAAACATAGGTTTTTATTGGGCTTACTACAGCATTACATAGAAGACGTATTTGTAAGTTAGAATCCACAACAACAGCAAAATCCTTTAAATTCTAATTGTTTTTCATCTCTAGGCATTTCCTTTCATTTTCTTGAATCACTGAAGAATATGAACTTTTAATTTTTTCTTTACCTGTGGAAAAAAAAAACAATGATTTAGTTTATCTCCATATGTTACCATTCCTTTCAGGTGTAATAAACATATATTAGAGGACATAGGAAATATTTAAGGCTCAGTAGCAAATTATACCCCACAAATTCTCACAGCAAGATATCAGTGATGGATGACAAGAACAAGAATTTAGATATATTTAAAACTTTGTATACTCCTTAATCATTCTCAATATTCTCTGTTACACTAGATATGTAACACAGTCCATTACATAACCCTTACTGGCTTTCTCTGGCTTCCTTGCCTCCTCTATAAATGTTAATAAATACTGCTTTTTATTTTTAAGTGTGCATATAAGAGGCAGAATCTACAAAATGAATCTGAAATTAATTTGCAACTGTTCCAATTGAAAATCAAAGCCACTTGGGAACGTAGGGTTGAAGACAAACTTAATGAGCTAGATGACAACAGTTTGAGTCGCTTTTGATACATATGAAAATAATCAAAACAAAGTAGAAAACCTTGAACATGAAAGTTTACTTGGGTTAAAAACATCAAACTCAAAAGGATAATAAAAGAGAAAACAAGCATGTTTAAGGATGGAAAAGATTCCCATAGATTATATAAGGAACTTGTATTATAAACATTTAATTTGTTCTGACTGACAAACATTAAATAAGTCCTACTGAGATATTGAACCTCAGCAGGCAATTGTGAAACTAGGTACAGTTTCGAATTGATTGCTTCATCTGTGTTGCCGTGGCCAGAACTGATGATAGCTTTTATCAAAAGATGTCCTAACTTACGTTACTTTCAAGCAAGTTGCTCATTCTTCCTTCCTCTTGGGATTGTTGACTGCAACAAAGTGATAAAGGACAACAAGAAGAAATAGGGAGACACCTAGGATGTTCGCAAACGCTGCTAGCTGGACGTCTGTGATCATGACTGTAAACAAGGAAATACAATGCATTAATAACATTTTAAAAGTCCAAAATGGCAGTCAACACTTGAAAGGGGGCTCAACCATATAAATACAGTGTATTCTCAATATGAAGTGATGATGATGATGATGACCTTCACTTCTATACAATCATATTTCAAGCTACTTGTAAGCTTGTGCAGTTGCATGAACAAAAAAAGGAAAATTACAAGTTATGTAAACAAGACTTGAATTTGAAAATAGAAAATGATGTATATTATCAATTCTTAGTAAAAACAAAATTGGTATGACTGTATAAGGTGAGCAGTAGAAGCAAAACTGGAACCTGGGTAATGTTAAAAGGTCACATCCCCTCAGAGAGTAACCATTCGAGCGACATTTAAGGATGTTTTCAGACAGTTAGTTGGGGAAAGTAGCATTATTGCCTTTGTAAAAAAGCTTGAAGATGTCTAATTTATAATACAAAGAAAGTGAAGCCCACTGGTCGTATCTAAGCACGCTTTATGATGTTGTGGCCAGTTGAAACATCACCCGGGTAAATACCAATTTTTTTTTGCCATGACATAAACATCCCTTTGATGTTTTGGGTATGCAGTATCTGCAGCTCTAAAAGAGTTTTAATAATGCCTAAAGACTAAAAATGCGTCTAAATAGAGTAAGTGGCAATCGATTTGCGAGGAACAGAAACTTGAATCGTCTAACATACACATAATTCAAAGATCGTTTTATACTGTAACGAATATTCATAGAGGTATAACTCATTTCACTATTACGCAGATAAATACTGTTTACTTCGTTGGTCAAAAAGAACCTATATAAAGATAAATAACTCTTATCTAGTATAGCCTTCCATGTACTACACGCGTGTACGTAAGATCAATCCTATTTACGCCAAATTCGCGCTATAATTCCGCTTCTGTGACACTTAACATACATATAGAAATAACGGAGATTGCAGCTTACTTCTTCCAATGCTGATAGATGGATCTTAAAGCTTCAATACTGCTCTTTGTTCAAATCACCGAACCTTTCAATTCAAGAGTTACACGAAGAAGGCCGAGATCATGTAATGTGGACTGGGATAGAGGTATTGATCGCAAGAGCTTCTAGGGGACAACTTGTTTACGCTTACATATCGTACTACTCCAACAGATTTCAAGATGTCGGCAACGAATGCGGCCCGAAGTGTAATTCGTCAAATTTTGACGAGTTATAAGTCATCTAGAGGCTTCGACAAGGTTGGAGACAAGGTATAAGATGATTTATCGTTTTAAAATTTGGACAGAATTTCTGTATTACCCCATACTATTCGAAAACAAAGCCGTGGGCAATATTCTTCGCAGGTTCTATGCTCTATTAACCTTCAATGTATCTTACTGTCTAATTACTTTTGCAAAATTTTGGGATTTTTCAAACAGGTTTGTATATGTGTGGGTGTGCGTGTTTGTTTGTCTGTTTGTAACTAAGGGTGAGACAGTTTGACTCATTTCCTCAGTCTCTTTACTTTCTTTACCTTGATGCAAGCACTTTAACAATCTACACATTACGTTAGTAAGCTGTAGTTATCTCTTTGATAGATTGAGCTCTTGTCAATGTCAGAAGGTAAAGCTTCTTTCAAAATGAAAGTTGAAGAAAGTCACCAGAATCCAATGGGCAACCTCCATGGTGGAATGACAGCGACTTTGGTTGACATGTTAACTACACTGGTGACATTTACATCGCCCCCACACAAACTTGGTGTCAGTGTTGATATGAGCATAAGGTACTATATCATCTTAATTTATATTTTGACCCCTTTTGTAATATTTCACTATGGAAACTTTTTTCTTCATGGCAGCTACCTAAGGCCAGTTCCAGTTGGAGAAGACGTTACTATAAATGCAGAAGTTATCAAGATGGGTCGTACATTGGTCTTCACCGGTGCGGAACTGTTAAACAAAGATGGAAAACTTGTAGCAAAAGCTAGTCATACTAAATTTATTGGGGAAG